CTTCTTATAATGCGTGTCATTTAGATAAAACAGATAAACATGTTATACAATGGATTATATCTTGGTGTCATCTTTAAAAATTAATACTTGCATGCTCCTCAAATTATGAAGTGCTTAGCGTAAGTAAGAGATGACATGTTGAACAATATAGAAAATTATCTTATTTTCATGGAAGAAGCACCCAGGACCAACACATGTCAAACTTTTTGGGTCCCACAGATAGCCAAATAAAAGGACTAGGTGGGGCCAGAAGCTCTTAGAAGGCTTCCCTATCACCACGGTTAAAGAGTAGATTAATTTATACCTCCGAGATATCAGTGCAAAGTGTGTTGAATCCCTCCATTGCTTTCAGCTTGTTACTGTGGCAAGAATTTGTAATATTGAGTATGAGACTATGTAGTGTGTATGCTTGTTTATGCGTTTTTTCCGTTCCTATTCGAAGAATTGCAATTCATCACTTAGACCATCCAAACAATATTTGGCATTCAACCTCAATATCTAGTCCGGATACAAAAATCTAACACATCCAGACAGGAATATTAGCATTCAGTCTGAATATCAATATACTACTCCTTCCGTCCGAAATTACTTGTCACAAGAAAGATAAAAATGGATGTATCTACAACTAAAATACATCTAGATACATTCATTTCTTGAACGAGTAATTCCGAACGAAGGGAGTAGGTATTAGACATTCAACCCAATATAATGCCAAGCCTTCCAAATGCCAAGCCTTCCAATGCAAACATCCTGACGAAGCATTACCTTTTTAGTACAGGACGTTGTCTGTTTGTCAATTACAGGTGGGCCACGGTCCACCAGCTCACGGAAACGGCCTGGTTCTTCTCATCGTCTCGCTGACAGCTGGGCCGACTGGTCGTTGCTCAGCCTGCCGACAGCCATGGACGCAGATGGGGAATGTGCGACAGCGATCCCGCCGGCCAGGTCGCCGGCCACGCGCCCCTCCATGAGCTCCTCGATTTGGCCGCCCGGAGTTGTATTCGTCCGGTCGAACTTGGAGATCGATGGTCGTCGGGGCCTGATTTTCAGCGGAATGCCGCCGCGATTAGCACGGCGCCCTCGACCGAAATGCCCCCGGCTGCCGAACACCGCCGACCACTAATCAACTGAAATTGCAGGTACCTTTTCTTTTGCCACAGCCCCATGTACTTCTCATTAACGTATTTTTTCCAAATCAGAAATCTGGAATCACAATGTACAGACAACAGAACAGGGGAGGCCTCACTTTCCTCGCCTAAAAATTTGAGAAACGAAATGGATCTAAACAGGCCTGAAAACTGCGTTGTCATAGTGCTCGCCGCAGCAACAGGTCTGGGCTCGGCGCTTCTGCCGGTCATGTCGCTGGTTGTGTCGTGACCGTACTCGAGGTTACCAACCCCCCCTGATGGTTTGGCTTACTTAGGAATTGTGATTTCTTTGCTTGTACTCCCTCTGTTCCAAATTACTCGTTGTGGTTTAAGTTCAAATTTGAACTAAAACCACGACGAGTAATTTGGAACGGAGGGAGTAGTTGATATTGCTCTGAATTCTGAAAACCAAATCCACAATTTAAACACTGCTATTCTCCCAAGACATTGTTGTCTCTCACAAGAGATATGTTTACTTGCTTAGACTTCCTAAGGTACATAGCAACAGCTGAACTTATGGAATATAATCTGCTCATCTTTTCTTGTCAATACCACCTAGGTTTCAGATACAAGGGCTTATATAGTGCCCACAAACATACAACGAGTTGCTGCGATTTCCAGCTTACAAACTTGAACTGAAGAAACCATGGCCAATACCAACGCCGAATCATGCTGCCGTCAAAGCACCTAGTGCCTCAACAAGGCCTAACCGTCTTCGCCTAGAATTTCAGAAAGAATATGTATGTATGTCAATGCTAGCAAACAGAATATTTGTAGATCAAGTTTATTAGAAAAAGTAGTTTCAACCTTCAAATATGAAAAAAAATCATGTATGTTCCTTTTGCTGAGAAAGAAAAAGCAAGTACTTCTGCAGCTATTGGAAACTAAGCATAATTATTAATGTCTAGCATGTGTGCACCTTGATGCACAAGCCGGAATGTCAACTTGCGCCATGTAATTTACCTTGGTGACTATCAGCCTAGAACTTGGTCACACCCAACATAAACAATCGGCAGCCTCACCATACCCACCGCCGTTCCTGCCATGACTTCGTCATCAGCGATCCCATCGGACGTGCGGCCGTCATTAACACGAGTGCTCTGCACAACGAACATGTCGTTGCACTGCATATTCAGCGGTGCCGCATCCTGTGCGCGCAAGGTCACATAGATGTAGCGCTTGGAACATGGTGCCATGATTCCTTTGGTTGGTTGTACGGAGTACTTGGCTTGGTTGGTTATGACACGAAACGCTACGGAGCCATCCGTCTGGTTGGTTAGCTGCATACACGTCGATATGTCCTTCCTTGGCTCGAATAGGAAGCGCAGCTCTATTGCCGGATCCACCGCAAGAATGTTGTAGTTAGAACTTGTCTGCAAAAAATATTGGATTGGTTAATACACGTTGGCATATCTAATCAGGTTTATATTGAAGTGCATGAATGGCCTTGCTAAGTTAATACTGAAGTGAACTTATCCCCGAAAATTTGGAGTTCTGTAATATGTCAATTTTGTAAATCTATACTTGTCTGAATGATCATACCTGACCAGTAAGATCTATTGGCATATCAGAATATAGTGACATTTCCTTAATCTTAGCTTCTAGCTCCTCCAGTTGATGGACAATATCCTTTATGAGGGGCCTTTTATATCGGTCTTTCTCCACACATTCTACTGCTATTTCAATACATTTCTTCACTTGTAGGATGTCGTTTTGGTGTGATGAATACCCCGATGTTCCCTGCAGCCTTGCCTCCCAGTTCTCTATTACCTGAGAAAATTGGCACATAAAATTTGGAAAGATGAGAGGCGGGTCCAAAATAAAAACATATGACATAACAATGTCAGAACTATAAAATACACCAATTCATCATCATACAGAAGATAATATTTCTTACATGCTTAGTGAACTGTTCCTGAGGCATTTCATAACAACGGGAGTGGCCCTTGTTTCCTGTCATTATTTTCAGAATTATAACTCCCAGACTAAAAACGTCATATTTCTTTGATATGTAACCACCGTCTATGTATTCTGGTGGCATGTACCCGCTGCATCATGTCATCAGCATCAGAGACGCGTTTTAGTGCAATACAATCAAAACTATGTTTGGAAGCAGTGACATACTAACTGACTTGAAACATGATCAGTCAACTTACATTGTTCCTTTGACGTTGGCCATCTGTGTTTTATGGGTTTCAGTTGAAGCAACAAGTCTGGACAAACCAAGATCTGCAATTTTGGCCGTCCTGCTGTTCTTATCCAGCAATATGTTGGATGGTTTTAAGTCCAGATGGAAAATAGGCTTTTCATGTGCTCCATGGAGGTGATTTAAACCGTCGCAGGTCCCTTTGATAATTTGGTAACATGATTGCCAGTCAAGTCCACAAGATTCATCTGCAAAAGGAAAAAGAGAAACGTATAAAGCCACTAGATCAATTATGAAAGCATGCTAAATAGTAATGTGGAGCACCTTCGGCGGTACCTCCAATATGTTTATCGAGGCTTCCACCCTCCATATATTCGAAACAGAGAATTCTCTCCATTTCCATAGCCATAACTAGTTCTCCATTGTATGGAACGAACTTTTTAACTATTTGGTAGCAGTAGCCTAGTAACTGAACAACATTTTTATGTTTGACCTTACTAAGGTTACGGAATTCACTGTCAAATGCCTTATCATCAAGTCCTTGCAAGGGATGAAGCCTCTTCACCGCAATCTCCTTTCCATTATACAACCCCTGTAATTAAAGATATCTTGTTATTGTGGACAATCTGTTTGTAGTCAGCAATTGAAAAGTAGAGAATATACCTTGTAAACTTCACCATACCCACCACTGCCAACCTTATCTGCAAATTTGTTTGTAATAGTTTCAAGCAAATGGAATTCAATATCCATATATATCTCCACCAGATAAAGGAGGTCTATCAATATTATCTGACATTAAAAGAAGTCTCTTAAGATGAGAAGCATAAATCCAGTACAAAGCTATTAATATCTTCTGGGAAAGAGGAATGAAAGAAGAAGACTAAATTGAAACTGTACCACAACAAGCAATCTGGAAGTCCTTTGATGACACTTTTAATGGCGTAAGAAGAAACTGAGTAAGGGCAGCAATAACCTGGAGATGGAGAGAGAGAGAGGGAGAGAGAAAGAGAGAGAGAGGGAGAGGGAGAGGGGGAGATAGAGAGAGAGGGAGAGAGGGAGGGGGGATGGAGAGAGAGAGAGAGAGAGAGAGAGAGAGAGATGCCTTTAAGATAACAGGAGTACACGTAATTGGTACTCCCTCTGTAAACTAATATAAGAGTGTTTAGATCACTAAAGTAGTGATCTAAACGCTCCTATATTAGTTTACGGAGGGAGTACAAGTGAAATTTATAAGTACACGTTAGTTGTACAAGTGGCCGACTCCAGTTATTGTAGTACCATAAGACAAGAGTGCAATCCATCTCGGACTTTGTCTCCAGCCATCGACAAAACGAATAGAATTATTACTATTATTATTGCAACAACTTAGTAGATTATTAGCAATCCTAACTTTTTCTTTCACCAACAGATGAAGACAAGGTAGCAGGTTGAAAGGTCCTAGAGCAAAGATATATATATATATATATATATATATATATATATATATATATATATATATATATATATATATATATATATGATTGAGAGAACAAAGATACAAAAATCCTAGCAACGAAGCTTATTTATTGAGTCGTTGGTCCAGCTTGGCTTGCGGAGCTTCCCAAGCAGCTGCCTAACTTGGACTTCTTCCTGGCCGCGTCCACAAGCTCCTCTTGGCTCATTATGGACCAGGGGTAAATTCAAGAAGATTATTATTGAGTCGCTGGCTCACGGAAGCAGCAGCCTAACTTGGACTCCTTCCCCACCGCGTCCAGCAGCTCCTCTTGGCTCATTATGGACTCTCATCAGCCCATGACTTTTAACAGTAACCTAGAGAGAGAGAGAGAGATCCGATCACCTCTGTCATTGAGTACGTTTTGTACAAGCAAGCCGATTCTGTCAGGTATACATCTTTTTGTTGTTGTTTTCTCAACAAGCATCGTATATACTTCTAGATACATCGTTGTCCATTTCATAACCATTCTTCACATCTTATTCAATTCAAGGTCTGATAAAAGCACTTGGAAGTACATCTGGAGAGCAGTTCAAGTCTGCAGGCTAAATCGCCTGTAGGTACGCACATCCTTTTATGATTGTTCGCCTGTAGGTAACTAAGAATTAATGAAAGCATGTCCCATGCAAACTACGTAATTTTGCAACATGCTTAGGATGGGCAGCAGAATTGAGAAAGATTATGATGTCCTGGAGGGTATACTTATTGAAGTTGCGAAACCGAGAGATCTGCCACTAGCACTTCTAGAGGACATCACAGAGCATTTCTCTTCGATATGTAACCAACATCTACATATTCTGGTGGCATGTAGCTGCTGCATCATATTATCAGCATCAAAGATACTGTCAAGCATTTTTTTTTCATCTGAGGATCCAGTCAAACCTTTAAATCAACTCGAGGCTGCAGTGGGTTAGAGATAAGGACGCTTCAACTAGCCTAGCTATTTAATAGGGAACTAGCATTGAAAAAACTAATCTCTAGCTCATAGTCATATTTAGAACTGGAGGCTGGCGTGGCATTGCACACCTCACTCAGATCAGAAAAGGTGATGGGAACTTATTTCATAGGCAGGTAGCATTAGAAAACAAATCTGTAGCTGTTATTCACCTCAATCAGTTGAGAGGAGGTAACTAATCTGTATTTGAAGTGTCATTGGATTATAAGGAATTTTCTATTGCTCATGTAAAAAAAAGGAATGTTCTATTGCTAGAACAATAATGTATAAGGAAACCACATCTGTATTTGTAGATTTCTAGAACTAAGAAAACATGAGCATTGGTTCTTCATTATTATGTCCTCAAATTGGTCGAGGAGGGATGCTTGTAACCACCTCTCTCTCTCTCTCCCTACTTTGAGTATGGTGACACCTCAGCATTTGGCCTGATTGTTTGGGGCCTTGGGGTAGTTGAAATCAGGTTTTAATTATTGTTGTGATGATGCGATCACCTGCTCCCAGTTGTGCATCTTATTCATTGCATTCCGGCATAAACTACTGAAGGGTATCAGGCCATTTGATGAAAACTAATGACAACCTTACTTTTTATATGTCCCCCGACTAGAATTATGCGAATTGGTAGCGGTAGGTGTAGACCAAGCACGGACTAGCCAGGACAATGAGAAAAGCAGTAGAGCACACACCACATGAGAGCAAAAGGTAGAGGAAGCACAGCAAAACAGAGCTCACGGGTCAGGCCAAGCAGAGGGAGAAGAGCAGAGCACAACAAACAGTGCTCAAGGCTCAAGCCAAACAAAGGAGACGAGCAAGCCGCCAGCAAGTCGCGCGACTCGCTCTGTGAGTCGAGTCGCCGGAGCAAGCCGGCGTCCATTCTGCGGCTAAGCGATTTACTTTGTTCTGCGCCTGCTCTAACTGCCCATTCTCCTCTTTCCTCTTTTAGAGCTTCTGTACTAAATCAACTGGTATCTCCATCTTCAACTTGGAAATCACCTCTTTCATTGAGTACGTTTTGTACGAGTAAGCCAATTCTGTCAGGTATATATGTTCATCAGCTCTATGTGGAAATTTAGCCTCTTAACAGTAATACTCTGTCTATAGTTTAATTTACTAGATACCCTGGTGTCCATTACATAACCATTCTTCACATCTTATTCAGTGCAAGGTTTGATCAAAGCGCTTGGAAGTACATCTGCATAGCAGTTCGAGTCTGCAAGCTAGATTGCCTGTAGGTACACATATCCTTTTATGATTGTTCGCTGTAATTCTTCACTTGGTAACTAAGGATTTATGAAAGCATGTTTGATGCAAACTAATTTTGCAACGGGGGGCAGAATTGAGAAATGGGGGGCAGAATTGAGAAAAAATATGAGGTCCTGGAGGATATACTTGCTGGAGTTGTGATGCCGAGAGATCTGCCACTAGCACTTCTAGAGGATATCACGGATCATTTCTCAGATAAAAGAATAATTGGCGAGGGGGGATTCGCAATGGTTTACAAGGTAAGATAGATGCAGAAAGGGCCAACGTACTTTGATTAGAAAGTACAACCGATAGATGCAGAACATTTTCCCTCCACTATGTTTTGGTGGTGTATGGCTGAGAATATCTAAATGCTGACCAACAGGGTGTCCTCGGAAACAAGAATGTTGCTGTGAAGAAGATTTCTGTGAACAAAGACACAGTCAGTGAGAAGTTATTTCATCGTGAGGTTGCTAGCCTGATGAAGATAGAAAAACATCAAAACTTAGTCCGGTTTCTGGGCTTCTGTTCTAATAAAGCTCGTGCCGTGGAAGAACAGACAGGATCAGAAGAACCAATTTACTTTCAAATTATGGATATATTACTCTGTTTCGAGTACATCAGCAACGGAAGCCTTGATAAACATATTACCGGTAAGATGTGCCACATCTGATGTAGCTGAATACAACTTCATATTCTTTCTCTCATGTCCTCGATTAAAAGTGTTCTATCGTTCAGTATGCAGTTTAGCATGTACAACTAAATAGTTATATGAGGAATTGAGGATCTCATGTCCCCCTGAATCTTGCAGATGAACTTCGTGGACTCACATGGGATACACGTTTTGATATAATCAGAGGAATTTTTGAGGGTATGCGTTATCTTCATGAGGATAAATCTATCATTCATATGGATCTGAAACCAGCAAACATACTACTTGATGATCATATGATACCAAAAATTACGGATTTTGGTCAGTCAAGATTCGCTGAAAACACACATACTAAGGAAATTTTTATAACACGGTAAGATATGCATCAACGAAACCAATTGAGAATTTTCAGGCATTTACACACTAATATTTTCTTTTTGCCACTGTGCATCAACCTGTCGCATTTTCATGCAGAAAATATGGCGCTCCAGAATACCTGAAAGATGGCAGAACGTCAAAAAAGGCTGATATATATAGTTTGGGTGTTGTTATTCGAGAACTGGTGACAGGAAGTGAGGACAGTCGAGATACAGCCCATGTAAGAGTTCTTTAAGTTAGGAAGCGAAATTTTGCCCAAGATTTTTCCTTTTCAGTCCCCACTATTTTTCTGTGTTAGCCTTTCAAATGGTGTATGTAACCTAATGGATATATTGTATTGCTTAAACACATAGATAAACGCACCACATTATGCATATGTTTTTAAATAAATTACTTAACATATGCCAAATGTATAGGTACTTCGAAGGTGGACACACAGGTGGCATAAACAGCAGACACAACACCAATACCAACAAGTAATTAAATGCATGGAAATAGCGGTACGCTGCAGTGAACATGAACCAGAAAATAGGCCTTCTATCAGTGATATAATCCGCGGTCTAAGCGAAATAGAAAGTACAAATGGGCCCATTGACCAGGTAAGCTCGTATGCTTAATACTATAACCTTAGTGCGCCATGTCTCATCACCAGTGTGGTTTGTTCATAAATTTAAATTATTACTATTTTATTTGCATGGTCTACACTTTGGTCAACTAGCTAAACATACAATTGGTCGCCTCTGTCCGAATACAACTTTTTAAAATGTTAGGCCAGGAGGGAGCATGTATCTTTTGGATGACACGTCTGTTACTTTTCTCACAGATGAGCCTATATCAGTATGATGACATGCTTGGGATTGAGCCACTCGAGCTATGTTTCTCTTTGGAACATATATCGTGCTTAGTTGAGCTAACCAACGAGACAACTAATTCCATCGCCTTCAACATCGGAAGGCCAAGCAAACAGTACAGCACTCAGCCTGACAAAGGCATTGTGCCGCCAGGATGCAAGCGCGATGTGAAGATAACACTGCAACCACATGAGAGTGCAACACAAGTTACGAGTTCTGATAAGCTCGTCGTAAAGAGCACACAAGTGAGTGTGGGTGTAGCAGATCATAATATTACTTCTGACATGTTCATAACCAAGGGTGGCAAAAACGTGGTTGATGAAGTCAATTTGATGGTTCTATATCAGCCCAAGACAATTAATCTGCAAGAAGAGGCAGTCCCTGAGGTGAGCTTCGTGCATTATTCCAGCATAATACCTTTACTAAAACTAACAAGGGGAGGCACATGCATTTGCATGGGCATGGCTAGAGTAAATGGTAAACAAATGGTCAGAGTATGGTCTAAAACTAACAAGGGCGGCACATGCATGCATTTGATGGTTCCTTTTATTTACTTGTGTTAAAAATGTATAATACTTGTTTCTTTAAGAAAGCGAAAGGCAAAAAATGATGGTGCTCAATACCTCTTGCCCCTAGTTAGAATATGCTAGTATCATGTAAATTTTCGTTTTGAGCTGGAATGGATACTTTTTTAGAGGGGATTTTTCTGAAACTGTTTAAATTGTCTGCAGTCTAAGAAACAAAATGTATTTTTGATAAGATCAAAATGAATATGTTCACATATATATCTTTAACGGGAGAATGTATCAAATTACTTCTATTATTATTTATATTGTCACAACATGGTTAGGAATGCTTCTCTCTCGGCTTATGATTGTGGTTGTGTAGCTCATGTCTAGCTCTAGCCGTCTTGCACTCAAGCACAGTTTCAGCCACCGGCCAACTGGATTTGTGAATAGTGTTGTGATTATATAGTTCTTTTGTCCGGAAAGAGTTTGGATCGAAGAGGTTATGTAGTGTGGGAGTTCCTATTAGATTGTTTTTTTCATTTATTTGTGTTAAAAGACTCTGAATCTTGATTTTCACTTGAGAACTCTACTATGTACAATGTCTAGTTTTTCTATCTTTATTCTGATAGCATACTTATTTATAATCTAAGTACTTTATCTTTCTGTGTGCAAGGACATTGAGTCTAGTAGCCGTAATAAGAAAATACGTAGGTTAAGTACACCACAACTATTGTACTTCGACCCAGTTGAAAGCATTCCACGGAATCTAGCCACCGGCTTGATGAGCGACCAAACCGTGGATCTCGCAACAGGAGCCATCGGAAGCCTGCTTGCCAAGCTGAGTGAGCTCCTCAACATGTACAATCTGGAGGCGAGCATTAGGAGCGATGTGGATTGTGTCATACATGAGCTAAGAGTCATGCGCGCTGACCTCTGCAATATTTCAGAGGTGCAGTGGGACAACAACAATGAGAATATCAAGTTAGCCAAACTTTGGGCTGGCGAAGTTAGGGAATTGTCATATAACATAGAAGATGTCGTCGATGGCTTCCTGATACACACCAAGGGCTCAGAACCCGCCACCCGTATTGGAGGGTTGATAGAGTCCATAAAAAGGATAATGGGCCTGTTCATGTCGGGAAGTTCGACCAGTCACCAGATTGGTGGCGCGATCAAAGACATCAAGAACAAAGTCCAGCATCAGTCTAGCTGGAAGGGAAAGTACAAGGTCGAAGAGGTCAAAAAGGTTGCAAATACAGTTTCCACAATCAATGCCCATTATCTATCAGCTTTGGTGAAAGATCGCGACAAACTCTTTGGCATCGACGATGCAATAAACGACCTCACCAAGAGGTTAAGAGGTGCAGATGGCAATGGGGAGATGTATGGGCTCAAGATACACTCCATTTTTGGTATTGGAGGACTGGGCAAGACCACACTTGCCAGAGCTGTGTATAATCAGCTCAAAGGGTCCTTCCGTTTGACTGCTTTTGTTTCACTGGGTCGGAATCCCGATGTGAAGAAACTCTTCTACGACATTCTATTTGAACTTGACGAACCAAGGCATACAAAATTGAAGCCAGCAAATTTGGATGAAAGCCAGCTTATACGTGTACTCACAGACCTGCTCAAGAACAACAGGTACGCACCACCTACCCTGTTCAAGTTGATGTACACTAATCATATTAAATTTTAGCAAAGCATGCCATACAGAGTTATAGCCTGCATGTACTTCTTTACAAAATCCATCAAGAAATGTTAGCAAGGTTGGCATCCACATGGAATTAAACTATTAACTAAAAATATATACTCCCTTTATGCCAAAATGCAGCGAGTATTAGTTTTGGTCAAAGTAAAACTTCATAAAGTTTGATCAATCTTATAAAAAATATATCAATAACTATAATATCAAATAAATATCATTAGATCCACACCATGAAATAGATTTCCACATTTTAGTTATTCAATAATGTAGATGTTGATATATTTTCTAAGTTTGACTTTTGAAAATGCATCTTATATTTTGGAACAGAGGGATCATGTTTTCATTGGATTGCTGTCTCTCTAATTCCTCAGCCACAAAAAGTGACAATTTTTAATATGTGCCCATTGTCCATCCATGACGCTTCACTTTTCCATGAAATTAAAACGAACTAGCACAATAGGCCGTGTGATGCGTGGGCAAGATCTTAAATCATTGAACACTATTTTTTTTATAAATTTGTACAAAGTAAGAGCATCTCCAGCCGTGCCCCCAACAGGCCCTTCCCAGGCTTTTTTCCGTGCCGGTGCCGAAAAATAGGCCCCAGTTGCGCCCCTAGGACGCCGAATTCCGCCGGCTCGGCCCGCTTTTGCG